AGCTCGATGATACGCGGAGACGAGCCGAGGGTTTCTTGATTAAGTCCGAGCCGGTCTGGTGACGAACATAACAGGTCAGAGAAAACAATGGATGCACCCCAGCTCTGTAGGCCAACATCGGTGTGATCTGTGGAGGTTTGTGGTGCATCATTGAGTTGCACGTCTATCGAGACCTTTTCACGGATACCAGACTCCTTCAACCCAGGAGAACCCTGATTGGAGAATAACGATAGTTCGAAAGAAAATTCTCGTGTAATTCCGGAATCCTCTTCGTCATCTCCGTCCGCGAGTTTGGTGAACGAGGCAAGGATAAAGGAAGCTTTATCAACCGCCTGCTCGCGCTCGTCTTCATTACTCAGGGGTAGCTCTTCCGCGCTGGCGATTAAAGTAGTCAACCAGCGAATAGCGAAGTTACGCTCGAAGGTGTCTGCACGTAACTCGTCAAGATCATATTCCGAATCTATATCATCCTCGGAGACGTAGCCGGAGTCGATCGGTTGGACTAGTAAATCATCATGAGCCTTCCCATGTTCGAGCTGCGACTTAACTGCCCGTGGTAACGAGACGGGGCAGTACAACTCATAAAGGTTATCTAGAGCCGAGAATATTCGGTCCCTATTGAGTGCAGTCAACGAACGTAAAGGTGGCAGGCTGCTCGTAGGAGACAGCAGATGACCCGCTGGGTTCATTGGAGTCCTCGGTCAGACTCGCGGTCCGTCTCCGGGGTGGATGTCCTAACGAATGAAAAAAGGGAAAAACATGAACATAAGATAACGAGCGACTGGTGAGGGTTTTATGAATTAGGAAAAAAAAAGTGAGATGGATTATTACGTCGGGGCCTAGAACGGGCCCAACGGAGTGGATCTTGAATAAGACCCACTTGCCACACAACTTTTGTTACTATCGTGAAAAGTCTCGGCGATAGCGGTGAATGCGACGAATCCCCTGACTCGCCATTTCCCATGTGCTTCTTCCGTTGGCTACAATTGTTTTTACTTATCTTTACTTAGACAGAGCAAGATATTATAACAGGTAGGTAGGTTTATATATTTGATATTTTATCAATACTTTTTATAGATTAACTAACAACTTCATTAAATTAGGTATACAAGGTACATTCAAATCCATACGTTTCTAAATGCTTTAATCTAGGTATTACCGGTCTTCACGATGGCTGCATCCCAGCATATTCATAGTTATATCGCTCGATACGTCGAGTAAAGACGCATATTTTAGAAAATGAATTACTGCTTAGGTATCTGTCATAGTATGGTAGAATACTTATTGACCCCTATCTCTTCATGTAAGACTGTTCAAAGGTGTTTTATTTCCTATACTCCCATGTGCTATCCGTATCCGATCATTTCCTTTTCAATCAACTTGCAATACTGGGCTCTCTACAGGAATGAAACCTTTCTCTCACACTATTTAACCACCCATCACAGTTATGGTATGGACGTAGCGAAGCTTGCCTTTCTCGACTCGGAACTCGTGGCTGTCTGGAACAGTCGCAAAGTCGATGAAGATGTCAACAGCACCAAGAGTCTCGTCAATGACATAACGACGGTTGCTCAGATTGACTCCTGCAAATTAAGCGTTAGTGATCTATCAAATTCCCTCGTTGTTCTAAATAGATATGACTTACCATTGGGAACACCGACATCACACCTATCGTCGGCGGATCCAGAGCCAGTGTAAGCACCACCCTCAAGACGTGCGCAAGGGTGTCCCCAAGGGACTTGTACGGACTTGTCGTTGAAGAGGTCGGCGTAGGCATCGGCTGCGGCCTGGATCACCTCGCGGCTGTCGCGCTGGTCCTCCGGGATTGGGTCCCACTTCTCCTGGGATGCCCAGTAGAGGGTACCGGTAGCGTTGAAAAGCCAATCGCCCTGATCAGTAACGAGAGAGCTGATATTGGCGATCTTTCCGTCGGCGAAGCGCAGTTGCGTGCCTATGACGTACGGGTGCGCCTTGTCTGTGACAACGATCTCGGTGTAAGTTGCGCATTGGGTGGTGTCGTGGAGACTACGGTTGAAGTCAATATTGAGCGCGTGAGACAGTATTCCAGTCTTGATATCAGCCGTCTTAAATGCTTCCAAGTAGACCACTGTGTCGGCCAGAGGAGCTACCGTGTCGGGAGTTCCCGCAGTCTGTGCTGCAAGGAGACTATCAGTAGCAGCAATGAGGTCTTCGCGGGTGCATTGTGCTACGGCCTGAGCTGCAAGGAGCCCTAGAGCGACGAGAGTGAGTCTCAACATCTTCAATATTGCCTATGGGAACTGGTACCAAGTAGAAGAGGAAGGGAAACTTGAGATAACTGCCATTCTTACATCTGGGGCGAGTCGGGGTAGCTCCTCCTAAATATGAATTATTACATGATGTCAAAACCGGCAAAGAAGATGATACTGTCGTACTCGAAGAGAATAGCCATATGAATTTTGTGTGGGGTTGTTTCGGCAATTCCACAGAGCTGGAAGATCATCATCCGCCCATCAAGTCTAGAAACCAGACGATTAGCACCTAGTAGAAGTCGTTGCCACTTTCGTCACCTCGATTAAGACTCAACTTAAATTTAACGAACCCTATTACTTAATATGTTCCAAGAAGTGCCTGTAGTTTTATGTTCTTCTAACTATGGGGAAAGGATGTATGGAGATAGGCAATGGTAAACGATATACCCGAGAGCCGGGAAAGATCCATCTTCATAATTATTCTATCTTTACCTCAAATGACTTGAGGCGATTAATCTATTCTTAAATAGTATTATAAAGAAAGCTCATATCCTTTTGTACTTCATATCCGTAAATGAAGATTAGGGCAACTTAGGTTTCTTAGACTGTTTTCTAGATATTCGTCACAAGAGTATGTCGTTATCTTCTTCCCTTCCCTTAACTCCTTGAAATGTCTTTGGTTAAAGATTGTTAGAGATTCCTTCTGGGTTAAATTTGTGAAATTTATTTATTTGAAAATTCAAGTGTTGTGCTTGAAAGGACAATGAAAAGGGAGTGGTAAAGGTACCCGGGGGAGAAAACGAATTGGTTTCTATTTCGATGGCTAAAAAAAGGCTACAATTCTATTTTATAATTACCTATATTTGAATATATTTCACATTTGCTAGATTTTAAGTGATGCTATTCAAATTGCATCCGTATAGTATCTAGAAAGCTGATCGTCATTAGCGCACGGAACTCCAGGCGTAAATAGGCCCTATGCCCGCTACGCTGGTCCAAACGCCTCTTCTAGAATACAACGCGTGTCCCACTACTAACAAATGAATTTTTTTTTTTTTTTTTTTTTTTACAATATAGACCACGAAGAAATGGAAAACCAAAAGCCAGAAGTGTACAGGCTGCAGCTGTGCGACCGAGGACTGCATCAGAGAAAGTTAAGCTTACGAATACGAAGGGTATTATGACAAGAAATGAATCATTGAGTAAGAAGCGCAAGGCGGGTATGTCATTCGAAGAGGAACTCGCAGCTCTCAATCGTAACCTAGACGCCATCGTTGGTTCTGATATTTCGAAGACGAGATGATGCTTAGTTACGACATTGTGCGTAATTGGATCGGAAAGTTACTCGAGGTCAATATAATGAACAAGATCGAATTTTCTCAAGTTATTGAGTGCAGTACAAATACCCTGAATTAGGTACTTTTCTGAGATAAACCGAGCCCAAAAAATGGCCAGAATAGTTTCGCATATCACAACACTTAGACATGGCTAAAGCAACGCCAAACAGCGAAGTCAGCGAAGTCAGCGATGCCGAATACGAACAAGAAGTAAACGCAAAAGGCCAATTCTACGAGTTCAAGCATATGCAAGTAGCGTCCCAAGGTGTCATCAATGGCGGCTCTATTCTCGGACATTAAGCACATCTGCTTGGACGATGAGGAGATAGACTCATGCGACGAGATTCGACGGAAGATCAATGCGCATCTGGGAAACCCCGAGAGTAACACAGTCATAATTATGTCGTGATCTGTATGCACAGCTCAATGCGCCCACGGTTAAGTGCATCCAGTCCAAACAACTTAACGACTTCCGTCGTGGCTACGGTGCTAAAACAGGAACTAAGAGCACTGTATTCTATACCGCATATGAGGTATATTTCGAAAAGCTACGTCTTGCACAGGGTAAGCCTAATACGAAGCAGGGCCTGGATATGGAGGATATCTTGGTATGGAGAGGAGGGTTCGATCGTGAGACTGATAATAGGACCGTGTAAGAGTCGTCCGTCTAGAGGACTTTGCAGATTTATACAGGAGGTACTTACTAGATTCTAGGTTCGTTGGATTAGCAAGCTCGAGTCCCTACGTTTACTCTGATCGTTATGGGCGCATTATTTCGACGCCCGTGTACCTATAATGCGACTTGAGAAGGAGTCCTAAATCATGCCAGGTAAAATCCCGATCGCAAGATCATATCTTTCATTCTTCTAAGTCCACCCTTTCTAATATCTAATATATTGCATTAATGTTAAGGACATATCTTGGAGTAGAAACCGTCTGCAGTCACTACACCCCTCTCTCCATATATTACGTATGAAATAAGAAAGAAAAAGGCTCTATATCTTCTCATTTCTAGGTCGCCTTGGGACTTATCATTGTCAAGATCCTATGGTAATACTGGAGTCCCACTCCAGTAAGAGCAGCCGCAATGACCACTCCGATATAGGCTGATGGATTGTAGTAGCTATGGTTCCTTGATAACGCATTCTTTGACTTCTTCCCCTTGACAATAGGATGGTGGGCGTAAGGTATTTTCAAGTTTTTGGTATCAGACTTCTCTTCCAGCCAATCCAGGACAGGGGCACGGGAGACGACTGGCCCATATATGCGGTTTGTGCTGTATACTCCGAAGCTAGTGTAAGGGATGATGTATTTAGTCATGATCTTATCCATTGGGCTGAGCCACGCGTAAGCTCGAGCACGACGCATGGACATGTCATGAACTATTGGCTCATCCTTTTTCCTCCTCCTTGGTAGTCGGCGAATACCGCTTCTAGGCTTTCGTATCCGGTGACCGAGTAGTCTCGAGTAAGCGTCGGAGCTTATTCACGAGGACAACTACATCGGCCAAACCGCTATTATATCCTAATCCGGCGTGAGGCTCTAGTTTCCGAATAGCATCACTTGCGAGGACGATACGATTCCAATACCATTTGTCTACACGACCCTCCTCCAGGTTGATCATACCAAAGTTTCCATCCTGTAGGCCGAAAACGTCGCGCACTCTCATGCCGGGAGCGGTGTACAGATGTCCCCATCTCTGTATGGCCTCCTCCTTATCCTTTTCGGTATATTTGATGCGTTCTGACGTAGGTTTATCAAGCGCTTCATACACGCCGAACCATGCTAGAGAGTTACCAGTGAGAAGCTGAGTTGATACACGTCCTGACGCGCATTCGTGATTGACATTATTTGGTAATGTCGGAGGAATAGGTATACTTCCAAAGACCATCCTGTATGTGGTGACGTAGGGACTCTTAGGGGTTTCCGATATGCTCGGAGCTGCCCTACCCTCCTCCATCGCCTGCATGCATTGGCGAACTCTACTGTGAACGCCGTCTAAACCTATCACAATGGAGCCCCTTTCCACGGTACCATCGGTACACTCGACGACCACTCCATCATCTGACACGTTTACTTTGAAGACGTGCTTCTTGACCTTGATTCGTGCTTTCGCACTGTCAGGCAGGCTTTGATATAAGGCTTCAATGAAGAGCGGGCGATGAGTAACCTTTAATCCGTACCCGTGGCTAGATCACGATAACTATAAGCTTGGTTCCATACTCATTACCTTCCTTGGTTTTGGATTGACGTACTTTTTTTTGATCAACTCTCCGGGGTTCCACGATGTGAATATGGACCCGTCGTCGGCAGACATGGTGACTCCATTGTCGATAGGGTTAAGAACAGGCTCCAATTTATCTTGTAGATCTAATTGGTCAAAATGCGAAATGTCGGCGGCCACAAGCTTAGGAGAGAGCCAAGTTCGGGTGTTAAATTCTCATGTCGTTCAAGTATAACAAAGTCGATATCCGTTTTGGATAATATATGTGCTGCAGTAAGACCCACGAGTCCGGCTCCGACAATTACGATACGAAACGGTTTCTCTACAGTAGCCATCTTTTAACTCGGTTATAGTCTCTTCTCTTCCGGATATAACACAACGGCTTGCGGTTGATTCGAGATGATCCTAGCAGGTCTACGGAGGTGCAGAGGAACACATTAAAAAAACCCAAATTTGTCATTATACCCACCCCCACGTATAACCATTTTTTTTTAAAATTCGATAAGCGAATATATGATATAACTTAATGAAATAAATCGATAAAAATAAACGTGATATAGTAAAATTTATATATATTTTAAATTATTTATATAATTTTTTTTAAAAAATATAATGTTTTTATATTATATTATATTTATTTTATTTATTTTAAAAATAAAATTTATTATTTATAAAATTAATAAATCATTTTAATAAATTAAAATAATACGATAATATAACTTTTTTAATTTGTGCGTTTATTAATTATTTACGTAATATTTATAATTATTTTTTTATTTTTTATAATGTTTTTAATAATTTATTTTTATTAAAATTATTTATTTATTTATTTAATATAATAATAAATTTTTACTTTTAAATTATTAATTAATAAGTCTTTTTTATAAATTAAAATAATATAATCATCACTTTTGTTCTTTTATTTTCACTTCCCCTTATTCTCCCCTTCCATCCCTCCTTCCTCCCCGTCACTTCCTCCATTTTCCGTTCTCTTATTTTTCCTTCTTTTTTCTTCTTTTTCTTTTTTTTCTTCTTTTTCTTTCTTTTATTTCTTTTCTTTCTTTTTCTTTCTTTTCTTCTTTTCTTTCTTTTCTTTCTTTTTTTTTTTTCTTTCTTTTCTTTCTTTCTTTCTTTTCTTTCTTTTTTTCTTTCTTTTCTTCCGTCTTTTAATCACGTGTTTCTTTCCCTCTTTCTTTCTCTCCTTTTTATCCAGTTTTTTTATTCATTTTATCAAAAACTTATTTATATATATCATGGCTATAACTTACCCTATTCATTTAAAGGTTTAATGTAATAAACAATATAGTTTTAATCGGTTTTATTTTGATTTACCCCCTTTACCCTTGGGGTCAGTCCAATAATTTTAGCGTTTTTTTAATGTGTTCCCTCTGCACCTCCGTACAGGTCTTATTCGAAACGTTCTAGAAGTAGACTCTTTTCCAAAAGCTTGCCTATTAAAATATATTTTAACGCGTCGAAGGTGACAAGATCCCTGTCGAACGCACGTATCTCACTTTAGCCGGTGGTCAAGTGGATATGGTGCAAAAGTGGTGAAGGCCAAGTTAGTAA